GAAGGCACAGATTTTTTACTGTTTTGTTTACTGATGTCCAGATGAATGGCTGGCACATAGTAGGAACTCTATGAACACTGTTAGAATAAATGAGAGAATGAATAGTTCTGTGTTATTTGTTCTTATGTGTAAATATAATAATTTTTGTCCTGTCCGAACAGACTTGACCTGTCACTGGGTCTGAGAATTTGGACGATTTAGTTTTCTTATCCAGAGAATGGGCCTGAGAATATAACACATCCGTGGAGTTGTAAGGATTAAATAAGTTATATAATTTCTGAGCCTCAGTTTCTTCATCCATAAAATGGGATTCTATCTACTTCATGGAACTTTGTGAGGTATAAATAGATTTCCTATATGAAGTATTTACCACAGTGTCTAGAACAAAGGAGATAATAAATGTAAGACTTAATGATGAATAACCTAAAGAAAGAAGCATGAATGATGGGATTTCTCGATTGGTGCCCCCAGGAAGGGGCCTTTGCAGAGCCTCCCTAAACAGCCAATGGTACCTGCCTGCTCCTGTGTGCAGAAGGCCTGAGAGGGAGTGAGGTTTGTAACTGTTTACCCTGAAGGTCCTAGAACTGAGGCTGGACTGATCTTAACCCTTAGGCAGCAGCTACTTGATCTGATGGGGAGAGTAGGTAGTGAAAGGAACTCTCCCGTCACATGCAAAGACTGGGTGCCTTTATCAAAGGGCTGTGCTGGGCCCTCTCAGAGACACCATCAAACCACTTTGAAAGATTGCCATGACCTTGATAATCTCATGTTGAGACATGATATTGAAGGCTACTGCAGCATTGCCTTAGGACTCAGGCCCCTGACTCCTTCTGGCCCTTCAATGCCCCTCATAGCTGAATGGCTACCCAGAAAACCCTTCTCTACCCTTTCTCTGCCCATGTCCTCCTCATCCTTCAGTGCCCTCTCGCCACTGCCTCCTCCAGGAGGCCTGCCAGGATAACATGAATGTAATCCCCTTCTCTGAGCTTCCCTGGCATCATTTGCAGGACTCTCTTTGTCCCTCTGGTCTGCCGTATGCTGCTCTTTTGCATTGGGTCTGTCTCATCTCCTGCTGGTTGTAAGTTTGCTGAGGGCCAACACCTGGGGTTTGCTGCTTGTGCTCCCTTCCTGCCCTAAAGAGAGTCCTTCACGGGTGGGGTGGGGGTGTCAGGTGCCCCCAGGAGTGCTAAGGGGATGAGAGAAAACAAATCAGACCGAGAAAAGAAAAGCAACCCTCCTTAGGCCAAGCCACCCTTCCCACGTGACACAGGCTGTGCTCTCATCAAGGGAAGAGAAATTACAGCAACAGTACTAGACACTTCTGTGGAAGTTTTATCTGACATTTCGCAACAGGCCTCTGAGGTAGTAGGTCTTATCACCACTACCATTTCACAAATGTGGAAACAGGTTAAGCAAGGTATAGTTACCTGCCCCAGGTGAACAAGCTGAAGCCAAACCTCACTTGTTGCGGACGCCCTAAGCCAAGTTTGTGGGTTCTTTTTGGTAGATCTCAGTAACTGTGTGTGTGTGTGTGGGGGGGCAGTAAGGGGGGCTTAGCTACTCCCTAACAACCTCACAGACACACATACGGGCATTTTAGTAGGAAGCAGGCCCAGGAGAGTCTGTGACCATTCCGAAAGTTCCAGTTCTTTGTTGGTTTGGGTGTTTCTGAGAGGGTCTCGCAGGAAAGACCCACTCAAGACAAATGCCACGCTGTTTCAGCCACAGAATAAGGCTATAGCAGTTAGGCAACCAAGACGTCTTTAAGACGGCAGGGAGACACGGGCTGTTTACAGGTTCAGCCTAGAGTGCCACCCCCAAGGGAGAGAGACAAAGGTCATCCTAGGATTTTGGGGTCATTTTTTTATTGAAATACAATATTCAAACAGTAAAGTGCACAGATCATAAGGGTACGGAGCTCAATGAAGTATCATAAAGTGAACATAACTTTTTGCCAGGTTCCAGCTCAGGAAACAAAACCAGCTTCCTGAAAGCCCTTTCATGCCCACTCCTGCTCACTCTCTCTCCTCCGCATGACGGCAACTGGCCTGATGTCTAGCAGCACAGAATGTCTGTTTATATACGTGATGTAAATGGAATCAGAGTCGGTACTCCTTTGTGCCTGGTTTCTTAACCTCAACATTATGCTGAGAGATTCATCTGTTGTGGGTAGATCTTTCTTATGAAATAACCATTCATTCTTAAGGTTATCTAGTGTCCTATTGCGTAAGTATTCCACAGTGCATTTACTCATTCTACAGTTGATGGACTTTTTCTGTTGGGCCCAGGCTCTGCACTTGACTTTGGTAGATGCTGCTCAAGTTTTTCAAAGTGGTTGCACCATTTTATACTCAAGTCAGAAACACTGAAAGTTCCATTTTGCCCCATATCCTTAGTAAAACTTGATATTTTTTTGATTAAGCATTCTGGTGAGTGTGAAGTGGTATTGCAGTTTGATTTAAATTTGCATTTCCCTGATTACTAGGGAAGTTGAAGTTTCTCTAGGTTCTTATAATATATCCTGTGTTTTTTGTTTGTTTGTTTTTGTTTTAATGTAGAGATTTGTCTTAAAATATCTTTGCCCATCTACTTACCTTAAACACCATTAGTATCACCTTTCTGACATCCTTTATGCTAATTAACAAGCCACCATTTTCCATAAGGAAATCCCTTTCCTAGAATTCTTTATGCTAATACTAAAGCCTCCAGGTACTGATGGGAGATAAAAGAGAGCCAAATCCTTGTAGTAGCCTCTTGAGTAAATGCTCTTTATTCAATTAGCTGTCCATTCCTGGAGGGTGTTTTCCTGTTTAGGGCAGCTGGTCACCCTTCAGCTATAGTTGAAAACTAACATACCGCAAATGTAGTATCCTGGTCTAGGCAAAAGTACTTCAAAAAACAAAATTCATAAGGTGGCATCAAAGCCTTCTTTCCACCCTCTTCGCCACTGTAAGCACTGTGAAGCATATGTCTCCTGGCTCAGTACTTTTATTGCGTGGGGATCTCCAGGCTGCAGGTAACCCAAGCACAGGACTGTGCTCACGTACAAGGAAACAGAGAACAGGCAATCTGCTCATTGGCTCCCTTGGTGAGAAATCTGGTACACCTGCTGTTCCTCAGTTTAGGGCACAGTCACACACACATACAGGTTTTCTTGAGGCAGTTCTGGAGCCTTCTGACCCTTGCCAGGGACCAGTGGCCATGTCTTTCCTGGAACAGGCCTACCCGTGCCTGGCTTTCTGCCTTGGAATGTAGATGGGACAGAGGGAGAGGTTCCAAAGCCAGGGATGCTAATCAGCAACTGGCCTTTTCTTATAGCTTCAGTGTGACCTATGGAGCACATAGATTTGGGGGTTTGAGTTCTCTCACCTCCAGGCCTTTGGAGTTGTCACTTCTGGGCCACTCGGGGAGAGAGAGGTCATATTTCACTCTGTGAAATGCTGAGAGATGCCCTCTGGCCTTCCAGGAACAGCTCCTTTTAATTTGTTTCTCCTGATTTTTATTTAAATTCATAAGACAAACATGCTGATGGGAAACTGGCTTCTCCTGGGGTGGTCACTTACCTAGAAAAAGCTGCCTGGCCAGAGAGGAAAATATGTGATAAAAATAACAACCTACTTCGTGGGATGGGTCTGAGGTCCATGCTTACATCTCAAAGTAGGCAGGCCATGTGGCTGAGAGGGAGAAAACTGTGAGAGGGGAGTACTTTCAGCATGATACACATACCCAAGTCATTGGAGGGCTTCTGAGGAAGAAATGATTTTGTGGGCCATCCGCCTCATCTTAGGATGGCACATAGCAAAACTTCAATCATTTCCGTAACTCTTAAGGAATGGAGGTTTGGTTCATTGCAATTTCTGGTGTACTCGAGTATGCTTCTGAGTTTCAAATGTTCTTGAAGAATCTGTGTTGGGGAAAGAAGAGGAGGAGACTTGCAGAACCAGCACAACCCGAGTGAAGTGGCAGGAAAGGGGCCCCAGCGTGAAGGAGGAAGCCAGGTAGCCGAGGAGTCACCAGGATGGCCACGAGTGCTGGCTGAGCAGGAAAGGAGACCACGCGCTTAGCTAGAGCTTCACCAGCCAGTCTGCACCCTGCACAGGGGCTATCAGCCCGAGAGGAGTCATTTGGACTCCAAAGACCTGAGGTTCTGGGTAGCAGATCAGAGACTGAGTAATAGAGAGGCTTGACTGGATATCAGGTGCAAGGAGATGGAGCATTTGCTTCTCTAAAAAGACAAAAAAATGAGAGCCTGACTTTGCTTGCCCATGTCCCAGCACTCCCAGGCAGCCCCACGCCAAGAAAGCCGAGCCACATCCAGTCCCCTGAGGCCCCCATTCATCCCTCTGCTCGGCGGTCCCAGAAGCACAGAGGCAGGGGTTGGCAAGGGGAGTAGGCAAATAAGGTTATTTGCATCCTTTGTACATTTGCAAAGGAAAAGCTGAAACCCTGTCTAGGTTTTTGGAATTTTGGGATCGCTAACATACAAAAGGCAAAAGCTTCATTAGTGTCACCTTGGCACTCAGCAAGGAGAGAAAAATGCTCACTGGGGCTGAAAAGTAAGATTTTACATCATTGCATTTATTAGGCTCTGAAACAATACACATTCACATCCTTTTGAATACAGTACATTTGGCACAATAATGTTTACAATGAAATAACACTAATGAATGGCAAGAGATTAAAATTACATCCAGAAAGGGAAAAAATGTACAAATAAAGCATCACAATACAAAAAAAAAATCCCTAAAATTGAATACATTTTCTATTTAGCCAGAATTATTTTGCACATAATTTAAAAAGAGGTAATTTTTTTTAACCTTCTTCTTCTTCTTTTTTTTTTTTTTAAAGCAAGAATGCATTGTTTTTTTCATCTTTGGAGGAAAAACCTATGTTTCCACTTCACAAAATGTCTCACTTCCATAATGAGAGAACACAGGAGAACAGCTATCCTTCATATATTTTTTTTGGCAATTTTTTTTGCACTCCATTTTTTTTTTCTTAAAAAAAAAAAAGAGCTGGAAAGATTAGAAAGAATTGGCAGAAATGTAACAGTGTGTCCGCTTCCAAACTCGTGTGAAAACTAAAATGAAACAATGAATACTCAAGAAACACACAAGCTTTTTTCTATTGACTCCATGGGATTTGAATCTGCCCGTGTGAGAACTTGATCAGCTCCAGCTCCAAGCAGGAGGCCCCGGATCAAGCCTGGATATTTGGGTGCGAACAGGGGTTGTCTCTGGGCCAGGCGACCTGTTGTTGACTGGCTGCCTGGAGCTGATGGGTGGAATGTATTATTATTTGACTTCCCAGCAAAAATGCCAGTTGTCTGGTTGGAAGGGACCAACCTCCACCGACACGGGAACGCCGTGAAGCCCTTGGACAAGGCCATTTGGCGATGCACTTAGAGCTGGCTTGGTTGTTCAAAGTTCATCATGGTGAAGGAAGCAGAAGAAAGGGAGAGAGCAGTAGTGATGCATGAGTATGATGGGCAGTATTGTCATGTCTTCCTAAAAAATGAGATGATGCCACCATGAAGATGTTTCTGTGCTTGTACTCAACTCCAGAAGATAATCTCTCCCTAGTGTGTCAAGTTACCGAAGATAAATTAAGTTAATCTACTGTTCTTCATCACGTCACTGGTATGCCAAACACACAAATTTGATATCGCATAATATTTGAAATTACTGTAAGAACAGATAATAATTACACCTGAGTTTTTAAAAAATAAAAACAAAAGAGAACTGAATGTCACCATTAGTAACAAAGGCTACGACCAGCCAGATGCAAATATGGACACCAACTCTCGCTATGGGCTCCAGCTAGTCACTGTCCAAGCTTTGAAACCACCATCAAAAACATTCCTTTCTCTTCCCCATCTCTATCAGGGCATAATAGAGCACAGGAGAACTATATGTGAGATTTAATATAGCTTAATAGATGTTTACATCTTTTAAGACCAACCAAAATGAAATAAACAATACAAAGAACTCCCCGCCCCCCCCCCCCCCCCCCAAAAAAAAAGGGAAACAAACACACTTTATCTCTCGGTAACTTGAACCAATACACTTACAGAGTATTGCACCTGGACATTATTAGAATTATTCTTTCATAGACTAAAGTTTTATAATATGCCTGAACATGCAGCAGTTGATACCTCTAAATTCAATGAATTAATTCCACAGGCCTTGCAGCAAACACTATATACAAAAATCTCAAATGTACAAAAAGGCAAAAAGCTTGATTAGTGCCACTTTGCCACTCACAAGTATATATATTTAGGGGCAGCTGGGAAATCCACGTGCAACAGTTGGAATGGATTCCATTCCCTGCTAAATCAGTTCAGGAAAATAGATAATCAAATGACCTCCGGGAAACATATACACAAAGCCACAGAGAACCCTTGGGAATCAAAGAATGTAACACTGTTAGCATATCTACAGGAGGTAACATCACATCCATTAAATAGTGTCCACATGAGTTGCCATTGCATGTCACACAGAAACAAGCCTCTGAGTGCCTCTGGGTACATGATCAGTTTTCACACAAGTTGTTCTTCAGTCTCTGGGTGCCCTCTGCATAACCCATGTTTTAACCTCGTTCTGCTTGTTCCAAAAGCAGATATTTCATATTCAGCTTTACACGTTTAGTGTTTAAAAACCACAACACAGTAGTACTACCATTTTGTAGAAGTGTGCAAAATCACACACTGCTGCAGAAAATAAATAGAGTTTATGCTGGGAACTTAGGAAGAAACTGGAAAGAGAGTTTGGGGGCCGAGTTTTGCTGGAACCCCAGGGCCTTGGCCATCAGTGCAGTGGCCTGTGTGTTCAAGCAGAACTTAAGTAATGAGGACCACTACAAGTTTCCTTTTCTCTCAACTCATACAGCCCTAGCCCAATGTGCCACTGAAGCATTAAGAGCATACACTGTGGACAACCGGTTTCTCATTGCATATTAGCCCTTGGATATCTACCTGTATTAACGCTGGAATTTATATTTTTTGGTCAACTGGAAAGCAAATTTGAGAATATGGTTTTCAAATGTTAATAGACTTCAAAATCAAATTTCTTTTTCTGTAAGGAGTGCTTTCTTCCATGAGATACATGCTTCCACAACTTTGGCATGCCCCAACGCGAACACCAAAGCAAGCGAGAATGAGCCATTCCAGAGCAAACCAACACAGGCTGCCAACCTGTGCATCTCCCAGGGTCTCTCCTTCACAGGCATGCCTTGAGGGTGCCCACCCTCAGGCTGAAGAAGCATCGGTCTCCTCTCCTGGACAGAAAGGCAGAGGATCGCAGGCCGAGGGGCTGGAGGGATGAGAAGCAAGAGTTGTTGGGACGCTATGTCCAACAGCAGAGCCTGGGTCTTCGTGTTTGCGTTCTTCATATTGTTTTCCTTTGCAGTAAAAGAACTGAAGTTGATTCACTGTCAGGAGCCCCCGAGGAGTGGAAAGAGGCTTGCCAACAGACCAAACCCTGTCGTGTGTCCAGCTAACTGATGACATGTATCTGTATTATTGATGAGTCGAGGACCAAAGTGCCTTCTGGTCACCAGGTAGACGGAGGGAGGAGCTGGCCTGGGGTCAGGGGACGCAATAAATAGAGAGTGGTCAGGGGACTGGGGCTCCGCGGGGGAGAAGTAGTTCAAGACCTTCTGAGCCTCTGGAAACCAGACATCATCTCAGCACCCTTCTTGCAGCATCACCCAACTCCACCTGGAGTGGCTTCTCAGGGCATTAGGTCTTCCCCAAAGTAGGAGAAGCCTTTGAATTCCTCCTGGTTGATCTGCTTCACAATCGCTTCATCCACAAGTGTGAGTACCGGCTCTTCCCGGGTAAAGTCTTGGTCAAAGTTATTGACGTCTCTTTTGGTTTTCTGTGAGAAGAAAAGAGAGAACACTGACTCCAGGCTGACCTTTCTCCCCAGGGCCCCCCACAGGGAGTGGGCATTGAGCTGACCAGCCTCTCGCCAAAGCAGGCCGCTAGCTACTGAGAGCAGACATAGAGCTGTTCCAATGAGGTCACGATGGATGGCCCCAGGACGAGGAGGTGACAGAGGACTTGGAGAAGAAAAATGAGTCCAGGTGAAAAGGAAGACGGGTCTGTGAGAGGGTATGATGGAAAAGCAGGGAAGTGGGATTCCTCCCGAAGACTGTGTGTGTGTGCATGTGCGTGTGTGTGCGTGCACACGTGTGTGTGTGCATGTGCATGTGTGTGCGCGTGCATGCATATGCGTGTGTGTTTGGGAGAGTGGGATGCACAGCTCTCACCTCACACTCCCCCTTCCAGCATCTGCCCGAACCCTCTGGCCCCACTGAGATCTCCCTCCCTGTGTCCCAGGGAACAAACTCAAATCCCCCTCTCACAGTCTCCAGTGCTTTCTTCCCTATAGGTAGACCCCCCCATAACCTTGCCATGACTGCTCCCCTCTGGCATCTTCTCTGTAATATGAAAATGGGGAGAGGGTGGGACTGTCTTCTGGAAAATCTGTCTTGATCCCCATCTGCTCTCACCATGAACCCCATTTTGTGCTCCCACACTATTTCTTTTATTACACTTAACACTCTAACTTGCAATGAATTGTTTATACTTTTGTCTCGACCAAGAGTTCCTTAAAGGCAGGCGCCTTGTTTTATTCAACCCTGGGCTCCCAGCAGTAAAGTGTATGCCGAATGACTGAACATGCACACAAACCCACCACTGACTCCCCGGCTCAGAAGGACCCATACCCAAAGTCGGGCTTATGGCAATCAAATAAATCCTGGTTTGGGGAGAAACTCGGTAAGTATACAAAATACTTTCAGCCTCTAGGGACTTCCAGGTGAGTTGGGAGCTAGTATTCCTGCCTGGAATAGTTGCAGTGCTTAAAAAACTTGCACGGAGAAGTGGGGGCTTGCTTAGCTGAGTCTTGAAGAATGAGTTACAATCATGTTAGTAGAGGTGGGAGAAAGGCACCTTGGCAGGAAGAAAGACAAAAGCAGGGGCAGGAACACAAACAATGTATACACAGGACAATGGGTTTGCCAGGCTGCCTGGGGCAGAGTCCAGCGTGAAGATGGCAGGAGGTCAGAGTGGAGTCCGAAGGCAGAGGCCTTGAATACCAGGTCCCCTTGCCCCCCACAGCACAGTGCTGAGAAGATTGAAGGGGCTCCTCTGGCAACACTTTTTCAGACACTGATTAACTGTGTTACCCGGGGTTAGTGACCTGGGTGATGGACTAAACCTTGTGGAAAGATTAGCATTATTTGTAGGAGGAAAAATATTAATGTATGCTATGTTCTGTGGAAACGTAAAAGATGTTAATAAGTAGTCTCTCACAAAAGTGGTTTTGAGAGAAAGCTTTATTTTGTATCCTGCTCTTGGAGATTTGCAATGCACCAAGGTGAATTAAAGGCTCTGAGACATCCTAGAGTCAAGAAACCCAGTGCATGTGGTTCAGGCCAGCCTTCCCCAAACTTGACATATATATATATATTTCCCCCCCTGATTAGCTAATTAATTTCTCTCCTGGAGCAGAGGTCTGCAGAACCTGGCTTGGGAAGTGCTGCTTTACGATTTACAAAGCACCTTCACATTCATTTGCTCATTTGGTCTTTGGAACAGGAAGGTATTTTTATCCCGATCACACAGATGAGGAAACTGAGGCTCACAGGGGTTTGGCGACTTTCCCAGGGTCACCCAACTCGTTAAGAGCAGAGCCAGACTCAAATCCAGGGCCCAGCAGGATGCTTCCCGGGGTGTGGGATGTCTGGAAAGCTGGGCCCTGGGGAAGAGGGAAGACACAGCAAGGGTCAAATTCAATCAGGAGACCTTCAGGTAGAGGCAGTAGGCGAAAATCAAGCCAGAAAGTCTTGCCAGCAGACCAGCATGGTGGCACAGGGCTGTGGGTCAAGGACAGAGTGGGTAACATGGACTGGGTGACCTCAGCAGGGGAGTTCGCTTTCAGATTGTCCCAGGTTGAGATCAGAATCACAAGGACAGCATGGAGCAGAGAAAATCTTCTAGAACCCATCACTACTGCTTGGCATCTTCTCCCTGGGCTTGAGCTGCATAGTAGATAGGTTTCAAGAGACCTTGGCAGGGAGACAGGAGGGGGACGCAGAAAACCCAAGGGATGGAAATAGGACCCGCAGCTGAAGGACACACGTGTTGCCTTTGAAATGGGGAAGCCGAGTGGCTTAGTCACCTCTATCAGAAGGGCCAGCCCCAGGCAGGAGGACTATCTGTTCTCCATCTCCAGTGTGTATAGAGTAAGAGGAAAAGGGGGGCCCTGAGTGGAGAGGGACTTCAGAGAGGAACAACAAAGCCCATCCCCACAGTGACAGTGACGCATGTTGGACATGGGAGGGCTGGTGCCTGGGGAAAGGGTGTGGTGACGCCTCTCCTGAAGATCTCTATCGAAAGAGGGATGGGTGCACTTTGATTGAGGAGGGGTTACAGGGTATGGGCCTGTGGTGCTGGGTGAGATGAGTCCAGGAGGAAGAGGAGGGTGGGGAGAAGGTGGCGGTGGCCTGGGAAGCACTGCCTATCACCCCAGAAGGTGACCATGGGGCATCCTCAATGGGGGCAGGAGGACAAAGGGGACCAACAGGTAGGAGAGTCAGGAGTTGGGTAAAGAAGACAGGCAAGGAATAGGGCAGGGGGAAAACTCATTGTAGCATCACCAAGGTGGGCCATGCCCAGGTCACCTGAATTTTCAGGGGCAGGGCCATCTTTTCCCTAGCTCCCTCTCACTGGTCACTAATGAGGGGGGAATGCCTGCACAGAGAACCTCGGGGAATCCGTCAATACCCTGGCATTGGCTCTCCCTGTTAATCTGCTTGTTTGTGCTTCACCTTTCAGTTATTACTGTCTATTAGTCATGGAAACTGGGTTTGTTTCCTGAGGTCAGCTGAGCATGGTGACAGCCCTATACTGCATATGATGTCCGAATTTCCCAACTCACTGATTAGGTACCAGGGAATCGGGCTCAGTCAACACAGTTAGGCATGGTATTCCCAGAGGACCTCTAGCTCCATGGCAGGATCGCTTGGGGAGCTGTGTAGTTTAGCTCTGGGCTTTCCAGGGGTCTCAGAGTCACCTGTGGCATCGGAGTGAGTGCGCCTCCTTAAAGAGCTCTATGGAAAAACATACTTGGCTCACCCACCCCCTTATGCAACCTGGCTGAGGCCCTGTTTTCCTTGATGATATTTTAGGTGCATGTCAGTTACTCATTTCCAATTCAAATAACCAACATCCCCACTATGTGCTATTCCTGACTATTTTACCTTAGGGATTTGGGAAGTTTTCCAAAGCAAATATTTCTGGGAAACACCATCCAATCCACTATTAATAGCATGTATGCAGCATAGCATCCTCAAATTTGAGGAGGACTGGGAGTTATATCCTTCGCTCACTGATTTTATTCTTTGAAAAGCTGCTGCCTCCACCACAGGCACAAGTCTTGACCCCAAGGTTTTGATGGGTCAACTTCCAGAGACATTCCCTATTTACTTAGATCCCTGGTCATCCCAGATGCCTCCCCTAATGTCTAAATGCCAGACTCTTAGCCCACACTGTACAGCCTGAGAGGTGGCCCTGGGACACATGGGACAACCTACTAACTCCTCAGACCTTATCTTCTCCATGAAGCCCTTCCCACATCCTTTGGCCCCCACTGAGAAGAGGCTGCATGGAGTAGGAGAAAGAGCACTGGCTGACCTCTCAGCCTTGCAGTGTCTCTTCCTGGTTCTATGACACTGTGTGGAGTCACTCTTTGAGCCTTGATCTTTTCATCTGTAAAATGGGGGTGGTAGCAGTGCCTTGAGGATTAAGTGAGATGTCAAATGCCAGGTGCCTCAGTGCAGACCCTGATACATAATGGGTACCCAATAAATGTGAGTCCCTACCCTGCCTCTGAGTCTGGGCACTTAGGTGCCATCAGCTGGTACTGCGCACAGCTTGGCTGTGTTAATCAACACAGTCCATGTGATCTGCCCATCGATGCCATGAGCTTCTGGGAGGCAGGGACTCAGTCTTACATTTCTCTGTGTGCCTCCAAATCTAGAATCAGTGCTGAGCTTGAGCCTGACTGAATATTCTAGTGCTTCCTACAGGGACTGAGGTTCTTCTGATGGCGCGTCACTGCGCTTGGGAAAAGCCCCACATTCTCATACCCACCCACTTCTAAGGCCTTTCAGGATCTTACTCCTACCTACCTGCCCAGCTGAACCATGAAGCTCTCTGGACTCACTGGCTTGCTCCTGCCTCCAAGCCTCTGCACAGCTCGTCCTCTGTCTGGAACGCACCCTCCTGTCCTTACCTTCTGCCCCATGTCCTCATCACTGAGCTGACTTTTGCTCTCATTCCTATCTCGGCCTAGATGTCGTTCTTTCAGGAAAGTTCCCTGATCCCTCCAGGCCTCTGAAGGGTGTCCATTATCTCTCCTGACTCTTATCACAGCACTCACACTGAGTATCCTCCTATTCTCATGGTGAGCTCCTCAGGGGTAGGGAACAGGCTGAACTCACCCTTCTATCCCCAGCCCAGCGCAATGCCTGGCACAGAGGGAGTGCCCAATAGGGATCTACCAAAAAAGGGATAAACGCACCGCTCTTTCTGCTACTTTACTAGAGCCACCAACATGAGCTAGGTTCAGAACCAGTGGCAGCGGTCCTGCCAGAGGGGTTTTCCATTTGGAGATGTACAGGTGGAGTGGGGAGAAGGCTGAGGTCTGATTCATGAAGGGCCGAGGTGGGGCAGTCCAGACTAGTGCAGCCTCACAGGGCCCTGAGAAACAGGCAGACTTAGGCATGGTGAACGGGGTTTCTTTGCCCAGCAGCAGTTAACTTGGGGCACTGGGGTTCCCTGGTTACCAACACAAGATAGAAATAGAAA